CTGTGAACATGCTAAAAGAGAGGGCAGGGTACATAGGCCCACCTTTGAAGGACTAACCTGCACATGTACACTTGGGTCCATGCATGTGCATAGATTACATGGTCATGGTGTGCGATTATACAACCAAGTAGCACATGGGTTTACATAAGGCACATGACCTGGAAAGCCTGCAGGATCACTGGGGCGTGACTATCAAGGACCTCTACCAGCATTCAGGTCTCATGGACAGCAGGCAGCAGTTGGAATTAAGATCGCAGAAGGAAAAAGAGCCACTCTGATGTCGCAGGGTATCAACCTAAATAATTACTGTAGCACAGCGCTAGAGAACACGACCTCACTGTACTTTTGCCATGGGTAGAGCAGTGCAGAAGGTGTCAGATACTATTTCTTTGGAGACATTCAACATCTTTGACTCTGCCAATTTTTCCACCTCTTCTTCTGAATGGATCTTTGAGCCTTGAACTGGGAGTTTTGGTAAAGACATCTCATTTAGGACCATTGCTCCAATTTTTCTTATCTCTAGAATGTCTAGTTATGAGTCTCCATATTATTTCCCATCTACTGGAAGAAGAAGCTTTGTTAGTGATTGTTGAAAATACACTGATCTGTGTGAGTCATTTTATTGCTAGGTCCCTTTAGCATATTAGTAGGTTTTTCAGTAGGCTCTGTTCCATCTCTTAGGTTTTTAGTCACATTAACACCATCAGATATGCGCTTTGCTTTATGGATTGTATCACAAATCCATAAAAAATGAATGATTACTCCAATAACATTTGTGAAATAATTGCACCAATATATTGCACAGGCATATCACTACAGTAGGTCAGAACATTTGTATCTGGGCAATTTGATGATTTCTTTCCTCTTCCATTAGTGTGCAGAATACCTTACAATACCCAGATTTTCAGTCAGTAGTAGTGAAGCTACTATTTCTGCACAAGCTCATTGTCGCCACTTACGATGTCATAAATAAGTGGTATTTCTAGGAATAGGACCTTACTATTAGGCTGTGGAGAATAACCAATATTCTTAGCTGTAGCCAGTAGTGGTTGAGGGGTCTTTTATCTCATTAATGAATGGCTCAATAAAAATAATGATTTCTGACACTGGAAGATTTATTTGATGGCCTAAAATGTTTACTTGGTGACTGCAAACCCCCATTGCAAGGCAAATCATTTATATTCCTTTCATAAATATATGCATTTTAGGAACTTTTAAAGTATTTTTGAACATATTTCTGCATGAGTAATTCTTTAGATCATTTTCACCTTTATGTCTTTTACCCCCAGCTCTGCACATATATGACCCATTTTGCTTTCAAATTGTTGGTCTACTTTTATTCATTTTGTAGTTGGATATATAATTATGTATATCTAATGACTAACGGCTGAATTCATTAAGTGTTGCTCGTGTGTGTGTGTGTGTGTGTGTGTGTGTGTGTGTGTGTGTGTGTGTGTTTAGTGCTGAACTCTTCAGGTATTCTCTCCCTTCAAAGGCTCATTCTAAAAAGACTGATTCTCTATCTCTTAGCCTCTATTGTTACCTGTTCATCTACCAGTGCAACCTTGTGACTTTCCCATTACCTACATTGGCAGTTAAACTTTGAGTCTCATCATGTTATTCTTCTTTAAGTAGATTTATGGTTGAAATTTCATGGATGCAGCTTCCCTGTCATGTGTAGAAGGCAATTTCTCATAGAAGACTTACTGTTCCTCTGGATCTTAAATTATTTCTGCCACCTCTTTCCCAGTATTCTCTGAGCCTTGAGTGTTGGATGATACTTTTACATTTATCAGTTGGTCTTGGGCATAGCACAATCAGCTGCTTTTGACCTGTGGATTATTGTAATTGTGTCCTTTTTGCTGCAAAATGAAGCTACTTTGTTGAGGGTGAGTGCTACACTAATCTGTGGATATAAAATCAAATATTTAAAATGTAATTAGAAACAAAACTGATTCATTAAATTGACTACTGTAACTTGTTTTTCAAGGTACACGATCTATATGTGGATAGTTGGCCAGGTTTACAGTGTTTGGCATAATTTCTTTCCTTGATAATTTTATTTTACTCACCATTATGAACATTACATTCTATCATGATTAATTTATATGTATTTTGAACCACTAAGCCTCTAATACCATGATGAGTGCTAAGATTTGAGAAATGATGACACTTGAGGGAAGTTGGTAAAATAATAAAGTTTACCTACATGTTTTGTAGTGCTCTTACCTTCAGTGTTCACATCCAACATAGCACAGTGATAAGGAGTAGACCAAACACAGAGATGAAAGACACAGGAGACCCTCTTTACCACTTTAATATTGTAAAGAATTCTAAAATTAACCTTACTGGAAACTAGAATAAATGTATTTTTATCAGATGCTTGTCTTACATGTGTGTGGAATATATTAAAGCATCACCTGTGCTTCACTTGTTCCACTACCCGTGCCTCACACAGAATAACACAGACACTTTCCCATTTTCTAAGATTTTTGGGAACTAAAATTGAAACTTTAGGAGGATTTCCAAGGAAAAATTCAAGGATGTGTTACAAGAATATTGCAGGATTATATAGAGTGGATATCCTTGTGGTCCTTGAATTATATTCAGTGGATTACTTTTCCTTTTAAGGTGAAATATTCCTGAGTCTGAAGTTGGTGCTGTTAGCAGCATACTTATTTTGAAATTATGAGCATCTGAGTTTATTTCTAGAATATACATGTAAAAATTCAGAAACAGTGCTCCGGGAATTCAATCCCAGGGTATGATTGGCAGTGATAGATCTCTGAGAGTTGCTGGGTAGCCCTCCTAGGTTATTTGGTGAATTTTATTGAAAGTAACTGTCTCAAGTGAACCTGAGGTAGTATATATTTGAATCAAAATAGTATTTCCTGAATATAATAGAAGAGTTGCACACATGAGCTCCAAGCAGTCAAGACTGCATTACAAGATTTGTACCAGATCAATCTAGCTAAAATATCAGGATGCCTGTTGGAGGGGCTATTGAAATCCTACTCCTGTTTAGTAGTAATTGGCATTTGATAAACTGTGGGAGAATTTATTTTCTTCAGTAATATTTACCCCCAGAAGATACCAAGCTTCCAGTAGAGTTCCAAACATGCATGAAAATACAGGCAGCCCTAAATGCCCTCAGTTAGTATTAAGAAGAGAGGGAGCCTGGGCTCTACAACTCTATTTTTTGACTGGCTATTATTTTCTGAAATGAACTCCGTCTGTTATAATGTGGAGTTTATTGATGAGGGAAGAAGACTAAATTCATCTGAGTGTATGAGGACAAGTGTTTATAAGTTGTTTTTAGAGATTAAGTTTGATTAATAAATTGTGGTTGTCAGTTATCCTTCATTACCTATAATTTCATAAGCACTGAGTGATTACCTAGTACCAAGCATTGTCTTCTTCTTTCCAGACAGAAATCTAGGCTTTTTTTTAAATAGATAGCCAGGATCTATTCACCAGGAGCCAGATACATGTCCAGGCTCCAGGCACCACTGACTGGTTTTCTCTGTTGTCAACTGTAGCCACAGTTCACGTTAAGTTACATTTTTTTACTGCTTTTCTAATTTCACTTTCCCTGTTCCTGTTGTAACACACAGGGAGGAGGGAGAGATACGTGAAATAGCAGCTCAGATGGAAATCACCATGGTTACAGCAGGCTCTTGATTTACATTACTAGGTTTGAGATCTCTCTTTTGATTGGCCCAAATTCATTCTCTATATGATTGAACATAATTGGCAATGACAGGCAACCAGAGAGAATATAAGTCCCTTCACACAGCGTTTTTTCCAGTCAGGCTCCTGGCTGGAGTCTAGCTCTCAGCTAGCTCCAGGCTCTAGCCAGGACCTGACTATAACCTACTCAGCAGTGAAGGAGGACTGCACCTGAAACATGCCAGGAAACAGAGCCAGTGGAAATCCAGCATAGGCAGGTACTTGCTAAGATTACCCTCTTGCCTGCTGAATCACCTGCTCTTATTTCCTGTGCAGGGAATGTTACTGCTTCCTAAACCACTGTTTCCCTTTCATAAATCATTCTTATTCAGCCTTGGATTTTGGCTTCATCTGCAATAAATGTGATTCATCTCATCCTTCAGTATCTAACAAAGACAGGAGCCCTGCTGCTCTTACCACTCCCTTCATGGACCTACTATGTGAATAATTGTTATCTAAGAACATCATTCACATGGCAACCTAAAACTCTGAGAGCTCATATCTGAAATATTTGCTGACACTCTTTTTTTGGGGGAGGGGGATTCTTTTTATTGAAGATAGATTTTATTTTATGCAATACATAATGACTATGGTTTCCCCTCTTCCAAATCCTTTAAGATATTCCTCACACTCCCTCCTGCCTAAATCTATGCTCATCCTTTCTCTCTCTCATTAGAATATACACAGGCATATAATAATAATGATAATGATAATAATAGTAAAATATCAATGATAACAGCAATAATAATAAATAAATAAAACACAAGAATAGGAGAAATAAAACAAATAAACAGAAGAAAAATAGCCAAAGAAGAGCACAAGAAACACAAAGATGCAAAGACAGATATGTCTATGCAAATATAAATGCCACAAAAACACAAAACCATAAACCATTACATATAGGCAAAGGACATGTAAGGATTAAAAAAATCACTGACTAAGGATTATGAGACAAAGAATTTCCCAAAATTCTATTGAGTGCTTTTTATGTGTGTCATCTACTGCTGGGCATTAGATCCTCTCTTAAGGGCGATTTGTACTTGCAGTGAGACTCCTTGGAGGAAGCTATTTTTTTGTTTGCTTGCAGTTATTAATGGGAGATATATTCTGGTTTTGGGAGGTGGACTTGTGAAGAGCTTCTCTTGCCTGGTACTGAATGACCATCTTGGAGCAGAGAACTGTAACAATGACATCCTCCTTTGTTTCCTGACTGCTTCCATCAAGAGTCTCACAGATTCTATGTTCTGTTCTAATCAACATTTTCTTTTCAGGTATTTATTGTTTCTCCGGTGTAGCAAATACTCTTGTTTACTCTTCCCTGTCTGGACTAACCAGTATTTGAGATCAAGTAAGGTAAGTGTCCTGCCCATATTTCCATAGAAAGAACTTTTCTATCAAGTATTTTAGTGAAAGGTGCTTGCACTCTTCTTTTATAAGAAAGATAAGCTATACTCAAATGGATGTTGATTCATGGTAAGTTTGTAAGTATTTATTATATATTCCCTATGTTATTCAAATAGTGCTTACTCTAATCTGCAAATTTTAATAATTCAATTATTAGACTTAATGAAGTTAATTTTATTTAACTTTAATTTTAAATTTATATATATATATATTCACATAAATATTTTGTCTTATGACAGTATATTGTTAAGCTCCTATAATTGTTTCTGTGAAATGTGAAGTCCCAAGAAATATCTACATACACTAATGATAAGGTAATTTTTGACAGAGATGGAAAAGTAGACATAGAGAAGTCTGAATTGATCATCCTTAGGTGCTCAAACATGTTCTTCCTTAAATCTCATCAGCTCTTAAATCTCTACTGACACATCATGGGGATCATAGTTTAAAAATACAATTAATAAAAATTTCACATGGGACCTTTTATTATTACAATTTTTATTTGATTAATTATTTGAAATTTTCATATATTTATCCAAATGTGCTTTATTATATCCACCCACACTCTACCAAACCTTTATTCTAATTTCACATGGTCTGTAGTAGGGTCCTTATTGTTGTTCCCTTTGGGGGCAGGGGCCAAGCAGGCGCAGAGTCAAACCACACAGACTCCAGGAGAATGTCAAAACAAGCTCAGTTTATTCAGGAAGAGACAAGCCTTATATACCCTCCACCCTACCCTTGGGAGAGGTCTGATGAATATGCATCAGCTGGTGTGCCATGCCTGTCTCTCATTGGTCCAGGTCATCTCCAGATCATGTTTCAGCTGCTGTTGCTAAGACCATCAGGCAGACCCAGACTGGCTCTCAGAAAGTATCTCTTTTACTTGTTTGGGCCATCTGGCCCTCAAGCCCATTAGGGATAAGGCATCCCACAATGCTCCTTCTATAATAATTATTTATCCTTCAGATCCAATTATTTCAATTAGTGCTTCCTGTAAGTATGCATGAGGTGAATACCAAGACATAAGCAATCAACATTTTCAACAAGATAGAAAAAAGGAAATGAGACAGGTAGGAGAGAGAGAGAGAGAACACAGCACTGAGGGACAAATTATTTATGGGAATCTTGAAAAGTTCTCAAAACCTCCCTTGTGTGGTAGGTTGGAAGTAAGAAGCATGGCTGACAGAAGGGTTTTTTTACCCTGTAACTGAGAGGTAGTTCATATGCATCTCTGTGTGGACTGTGTGATGAGAGAGGCTGAGCAGTGCCACTTCACTGTTATCTGTCTTTTTCTTCAAATCTGGCCAGGAGGGAGATTTGCTCCATGTGGGTATCTAGAAGAATCATATTTATGACTTTGGAAATGACAATGAATTAGAAACCTGAAATTGCACTTCATTTTTCACTATCAAATTGAATTTATGTTCACATGAATATATTGCATGAAGTTGTAAACATCTATTTTTATGTGCAGTAGTAGCTGAAATTGGCTAGTAGTAAGTTTCATCACTAATAGTAGCTGATATAATTTCGTAAAATTGTTGACCTTTCATTCAATCGTATTTCTTCACGAAATACACAGGATCCTGTAAGTGAGTCTCTATTGTGTTTCCTAAGAAATGTTAAATCGCAGACAAAAATAGTTAATTCCACTGAAATAGGGTCCATATTTGCATCTGTCTGGTCTGAATAGTATGTTGGCCTTACAGTACCTATTCTGTGTATTCTGTTTTCTCACATGTATTAAACAATACCTTCTAATGGTTCTCTTCTAATGATTCCTTCACAAAACAAAACAAAAACTGTTTTGAAGCCTGCAAAGGATGTAAACACAATTTTTAGAGAAGAGTATGAGACGTACTTGAGGAAATGTGTATCACTTATCAATTAGATCCATACAGAATATACCATTATGGGGATATCATGGACAAAAGGGAAGGAGGTCTCTCACATAGTCTTATTTAAATGGAAGTCATGACACACATGTTGATTTAATATAAATACTTCGTTTTAAAGCCGGCCGAGTGTCATAGAAACAGTTTTACAAAATTATTTCATATTTATAGGATTGTATACAATTTGGAGAGACATAATACACTAAGATATCTGTATGTGATGATGATAAGTAGTTATTTTTCAACATTAGATTTAAGTGATACATTGTAGCTTGAATCATATCCTCTGATTTGAAAACATGTTCAATACTATTAAATATGTCAGGGTTTCTATTAGTCTACATATCTGTCCATAGTTAGTTAATTCTGACCACATAACACATTAGAAATTTGGCATGATTCCACTCCTTAGTCCCAATTCTCCATATTAGGAGACATCTAACAGGACTGGAATTATAAGCCTTTGATTCTTCCTAGTCTGCCTCTGTGCTTAACTCACTTGTATTAAAATATGATACATACATATTGTCTTAGTTAGTGTTACTATTCTTGTGATGAAACATCATCAAAAGCAAATTGGGGAGGAAAAGATTTATATGACATCATTGAAGGAAGTCATGGAAGGAACTCAAATAGGGCAGGAACAAGTATCTGATGCAGAGGCCATGGAAGAGTGCTTTTTACTGGCTTGCTCTCTTGGCTTTACTTAGCTTGCTTTCTTATAGAACACTGGAGCATAAGACCATGGATGGCACCACCAACAATGGGCGGGGCCATCCTCCATTAATCACTAATTAAGAACTTACCTTATTGCTGGATGCTATGGAGGCATTTTTTAATTGACCTACCCATCTCTCTATTGACTATAACCTGTGTCAAATTAACATTAAATTGCCCAGCACAATTAATCCCTTCTCAATTAGAAACACAAGCCTATCACTGTTAAGCCATAATATTTACTTTCTTGTTAATTCCCAAGATCATGTATTAATATCAAAATTGCATTATAGACACTCCAAATTTTAAAAGTCCCAGAATTTAAACATTCAAACACTTAGAAATTCAGCCTCTTTAATATATCCAATCATGTTTGTAACCCAAAATTCTTTAAAATCCAGTGTCTCTGAACTGTTGGCTCCTATGAAATAAAAAATAAAAATAACTTAATACTTTCTTACTAAAAGAGGGAAGAACCAGGGCACACTCACAATCAAATCAAAGTAAACTCCAAGTGTATAAAGAACTTAGTATCTAATGTCTGGGATCTAATCACAATTTTCTGGACAACTCCAAATGGCTTGGATTTACTTTTATTGCTCTGCCCTCTGCAGAACAGATTATGTCCCAGGCATAGGACAGCACAACTTCACACTGGCTGCTGTCCATGGTGATTGTTCAAATGTACTAACATCTCCCAAAATGCTGGAGCCTTCTGTTGCAACAGGGCTGTACTTCCACTAAGTGCATCCCCTGAGCTCTCTTCAAAGAGTACAGATATGCCATACAGTGTCATGTCTCAGCTGCCACCCATGACTCCTTCATGCCTTCAAAGGGGTACTAGCTGGGTGACTCTTACAGTACAAGTTTTGGCTGCTAACAGTAGGGATTGCCTTAACAGATTTTAGAACACAGTTTCTGTGTGTTGACTCTTAAGAAACAACTTCCCAGAAGACTTCACTTCAATGAGGTGAGGCTCTTCTTAAATGCAGATAATTTTTCAGCACCAGTAGAACAGTCTCCATTCACCCAGTAAAACAAAAAATTTACTTTAGTGGTTCTGGTCTCCTGTTAACCACAGTTGATTGATCAGCTAAAGTGGATCCAGCAGGATGGATTCATCACACAAATGGTCTGGTAGAGTCTTTGCATTTCTCTTATATGTCATAAGCCAGGACAGCATTGCCTGCACTGCCCTCAATATTCCTATCTACCAAAGACCTACATAACAGCCCAATGTACACTCAATCCTCAATGACTTTTCTAGCCCAAAGTTCCTATCTCCTTCCAACATCCTCTGCCAAACAGTATGGTCATGACTTGTGGTACCAACTTCTGTCTTTGTTAGGGGTAATATGATATGGAACACTACTACCAAAGCAACTAGGGGAGAAAAGAGTTCCTTTGTCTTACACTTCCACATCATAGTATACCCATGGAGGATGTCAGGCTAAGAACTCAATCAAGATAGGAACATGGAAGCAGGAGCTGATGCAGAGTGCATGTAGGGGTGCTGCTTACTGATTTGCTCTCATGTATTGCTCAGTCTGCTCTCTTATAGAAACCAGGACTACTTGTACATGGAGGACACCACATACAATTGCCTGGTCCCAACCAAATTGATTACTAATTAAGAAAGTGCCTTATAAGATTGCCTACAGTCAGACATTATGGAGGTATTTTTGTGTGTTTGTTTGTTTTTTGAGACAGGGTTTCTCTGTGTAACAGCTCTGGCTGTCCTGGAACTTGCTTTGTAGCCCAGGCTGGCCCCTAACTCACAGATCTGCCCGCCTCTGCCTCTCAAGTGCTGGGATTAAAGGCATGCACCACCACTGCCTGACATTGGAGGCGTTTTTCAATTGAAGTTCCCATCTATCCTACAATGCTAGCCAGTGTCAATTTGAAATTAAACCAGTTAGCAAACACATCAAACTGTTGTGCCAGTGACAGGAAACAAAAATCACCCTTTGCATAGAGAATAGTAGGATTTTTGTTTATCTGTTTTTTTTCTTACATGGATTCTTTAAGTATTAAGATAGTGTTTTCTTTAAGTGTTTGTAGAAACCATGTAGTAATACATTTACTGTTATTGTTTTGGAGCCCAGAATGAGTTTACTGTCTCTATGTGTTTTATTTCCACTTATAACCCAGAATTATATCACATTGTATTTTGCCAATGCAACAGAGTTGGAGTTGAATCTCCAATTTTGGAGATACAGAAAGTCCAAGGTTTTTATCAGGGGATGTATTAAAGAATATTCTGTACAGGAGTGTGAAAATCATAGGACAAAATTGAGTAAGAACAGAGGAGAGAATATGTCTCCCAGACAGAAAGGTCCAATCATCAATTAAAAACCTACAATTCACTGTGAGTACACACTGAGCTCCATGGGAACCCACACATCAGGACTACTACTTTAATATACATAACTATGATGCATCTCTACCATGTTCATGTATTCAGTTAGAAAATTAACTCCTGTGGCCTAGAGTCTGGAAGAAGAGTGATAACTGACCTGGTCCACATGGTCATTTGTCATACCAAGGCAGCAAATATTTAGGGTGTTTCACTTTGCACACATGTAGCTTAATGGTCTTTTCCAACCATTTCATCTCATAAATGAATCCTAGAAAATGTAGAACCAAGCTAAAAATCCACCTTGAATGATGGAGATTTTTCCTGTTTATTTGATGTTATTGGCAATAATTCATTTTACACCTCTGCTTCTTGATTTCAATATTTACATTACAACCCAGAATTATAAGCAATGTGTACTTTCGAAGTCTTTACTAGTGTTCATAGCATTTCTCAGAGACTTTCCTTTCCATGTGGTCTGGA